ATTGTCATCTAAAAAAGTAGCTATAACACCTGTTATCAAGTTTTTACTTTATCTTAATTAACAAATTTATCATAAAATCTGGATTCTATATTGTATCTCAAGATCTACAGCCCAAATTCCTGAACATAACACTTCTTCAAACACTGTCTCACATTTATCACATTTTCTTCTACTCAATTCTATTAGGTTAAAAATAAACTCTTGATATATCTAATGAATTAAATATCAAACTAATCTCTTATATATAATTACTAATACTTAAATATAGGTGAGTCTTGGCCACTCTAGTTGGTTTAGGTCGCAGATAAATTAGTTTGAGCTTCTATTCTTTCTATAATATTTTAAAAGCAGAATTGTACTTATGTAAAATTTCAATTAAATATTCAATAAAGATAGAGGCATGGCCTCACTATTAACATTAAAAAAAAAAAAAATCAAATATAATATCTATATTATATATAATATTTTTACTAAAAATTTTCTTAAAACTTTTTATATTTTTTCTTTCAAAATATATTAAATATTACTTGATAAATAGTTTTTAAAATCTTTAATTCTTATAAAAAATAATTTTCATATATTAATAAACAAAAAGTTTACAATTTCATTAAATATTAAATAATTATTTTACTTATAATTGAACTTAAAAAACTTTTTCAAAAATTTTATTTATTTCTTATAGTAAACTTACTACAAGAAAAAACAACAACTTTTATTAAAACTTTATTATATTACATGTATATATATATAAACAATAAATATAATATTTTCTTTTATAATATTTAATATATTTTTAATAATCTAATCTTTTTTTATTTTTAAAACTTTTTGAAATTTTTTTTTATTTCTTTTAACTACATTTATTCAAACTTAGATTTTTCTATCTTTAAATAAAACCAACCTTTAGCTACAACTTTTATTAAACTTTTTCTATTTAAAACTTTTAAACAACTCAGTCAAATTGCTAAATAGCAATTTATACAACTTAATAATATATTTACAGATCCCAAATGTAATTTTTTTTATATTATATTTATATTAAATACTACTTTAATTTAGTAATTAAAAATAATAATATTAATAATTCTAATTTTAAAAATACTTTTTTAAACTACTTTTATTAAAACAACCAATACATATACTCTTATTCAAACAATAGTATACTTTGATATTATATAATTTTTTAATACTCTAATTTCTAAACTTCAATATAAATACTATCAAAAAAGGTTAAGGTTAGATTAAACAGCATTCAATATAGGTGTACAGGAACTTGAGTGCTATTTGTCAGTGTAGTATAGAAAACAGAGTATTTAAAATAGGTAATCTCCTAGTAAATTGCAGATATAGCAGCTAGTGTAGAACCTACTATGTAGGTGAACTACTTAAATTAGATAACCAAAAGTTGTATGAGTAGCTAGTTGTATACTCATTTTGTACAAGTTATGTAACTATAATTAAAAATACAATAAAGGCAGTAGCTGCTAATAATTATGACCTTAGTGAAAGCAAAAAAAATAAATAAATAAAAATACTATCAATTATATTTATTATAAGCAATACATATATTTCTAAAAACTTAATATATCAAAAATTTTTATAGACCTTTTTCTTTCTTAATATAAAGTATCAGAAATAACAAATTATTTTTTTTCAAATTCTTAACTAGTACTATTTTTACAATACTATATTAAAAAACTTAATTTTAAATAATATCAATATTAATGAACTTTATTTTATTTTTATAATATAATTATCATACTAATTACAATTTTTTTTAATTCTATTATCTTATTTAAAATAATATATTTATACAAATAACTAATAATTTTTTATATCTATACTAAACAAACTATATATTATTTATACTTTATAGATTTTTTATAAAATACTTATACAATTTAAATTAAATTCACTTAAAATTGTATAAATATAACAAATATAGATAAGTTTTGGATCTTACCTTAACATCAAAAAAAAATTTAAATTTACAACTAATAAATATTTATTTTTTTAAAGATTTTGTTAAAAGTTTATTGCAATGTTAACAATTAAATTTTATTATTATTATTGGTAAATTGTAATTGTATAAAAATTGATACAATTTATATAATTATTAGATATTAACCTACTGGCATCATATATATAATGTTGGTGTAATGAATTTTAAAATATATAAGATCCTCTAATTATTATATAACTAGGTAATGTGTAACATTATGTGTCTAAAGCCTAACACATAATTATCAACATGCTACACAAATGTGAAATAAGCATGTTAATGTTACATTAAAGTACAAATATAGACACATGTGTGAACACAAAAAATTTCCAAATTGTGTTTCTGATGTAAATTTCAAAATTTTTATGTTAGTGCATCAAAGAGGTACCTTTTTTTTGAGCCAAATGCATGAAAAACGTAACTTTTGTATTAATAATACAATTTTAGGATAATCTAAGTTACACATAGGGTTGTATTACATAAATTACAATTTTTTTGCATTACGTAAGTTCAGAAAATAAAGTTTTATGTAATTTTCATTGTCATACATAAAATACCAGATTTACAAAAGTTCTACCAGCATTATTTCTTTGAATGATCAAATTGTAACAAAATTAACATCCCTAGTTACACAACATAGATAAAATCAGACTTCGTAAATTTCAGTTTATTTACTAGATTCAGCCCTGATCCGAAACATACCAGTTAAAATGTGAAAATCTTCAATCTTGTAATAGTAAGTGAATGATGAGATTAAATAGAATTTGAGCCAATAATACATAATACAGTGTGATTACTAAGACTAAAAGTCAATGATTGTAAAATTGCTTATGAATTGTATATGAGTTACTTATCAGTTACTTATCGGTTACTTATCAGTTACTTATCGGTTACTTATCCGAACAGATCAGCTAAAATAACTCAAAATTGATTAGTTACTCATCTATTAAAAAAAATCCTGATTCTTTATAAATTATTGAATGCGACAATTAAGCATCACAATTGAATTTTTAACATCAGTATATAGTCCTATCGCTACTTATCAGTTTTAAGATATTCCGAACAGATTACCAAAAATGAAACAAAAAATTTTCGCCCATATGTTTTGGGCTTTCAAATATTTTTGAAAACCTGAAGCCTTTGCAGCTCTCATTTAATTACGTATCAGATACGTATCAGTATGTCTCGGATCAGATTTCAATTGCATAAGAAATTCCAGGAAACTCGTACGTACCACTAAAATCTTTTGGATAAGTCTGTTTTAGAAGAATAATTAATATAATAAAATCAAGCGTATCCTAATTCAAGTTTGTTTAATATTATGAGTGTTGACAAAATAAGGTTCATTATCATTTATTGGGAGTTTAGTATATAACTTATGCTTAAATACGTATTTACAATCAATCTCTAAATGCATAATCTATGAAAAATCTTTCAAGATGCATGGTTCCAACTAATATGGGTTACTACATAACGTTATGAGTATTCGGGCCAAATTTTTTAAATTGAAATATCGATGTTCAATCAATTTTAATAATTAAGACAAACATAGATTCTTGAAAACTTTGAACGAGAATTGTAGTAAGTTGTTATATAATATTATATAACGAAACGTGCGTTAAGGGTAAAGTATCTCCTCAAGAATATGGTCCAATAAATTATCAAAGCTTGATCAAATACTCATAATATTACGCAGTGACCCATATAATACTTATATATTTATATGATACTTATATATTTTTATCTCCTTAAAATGCAATACCTTTCTGAATGCGTGTACGTAGGTCCCCGGTTATGCATTTAGGGAGGTTTGATTGTATATGTTGCTGATTATAGAATTAACATTTAGGGTAGTAAGATAAGTCGATATTGTATAATATTATTGTGGTACTCAAAAAAAAGAAAGATTATTAGTTAACAAATTAAGAATTATGTAACATAGAAGCTGATTCGTAAAGAATAAACGTAATGACATTCTCGGCTAACATTCTTAATTCTTTATTACACATTCCTATTATAGTGGAACTTCTATCTAAATGTAAGTAAGAATCTTGGCTCAAACATATACTTGATCTCTATAATTTGCAAATTCATGTCAAAAGTCAGATTACTAAAAGTTGAACTTAGAGAGGTTTCTCTGTATAATGTTTTACATTAATTCATTCATGTGCCTTGATACGAAATCAGAATTAGAATCAATATTTGGTGTACAAACACCTAACTAACTATACATTTCACTTCACTACACTTCTGGTATCATTATACAGTATAAAATATCTTTTTATTTTGTAGTTTACAATTTGATAGTGATTATAAGCGAATTATGATTGTATACGTATATTGTATAAAAGTATTTATATAAATAGTGTTTTGTTTATATAGAGTTAGTAATTATATAGACAATTATAGAGGAGATCGACAAATTTATAAAATAAAAAAAAATAAAAAAAAAAAAAAAAAAAAAAATATATATATATATATATATATTATTTATTAATTTTAGATATATAGGTAGTTTAATTAGTCATCGAGATGAGATATCTTCGCTTAAAGTTTATTACTGATTTCGCCAATCAGAAGCAGAATGTGGTTGTTCAAGTAGAATCTCTCCAACTCCAACTGGTAATTCGAAGAGATAATAGCCAAGACGCCCTAATAAATAGTAATGTTTGTTCATAGTCAACACAAGCTTCTCATATAATGAGCGTCATTGCATTTGTAACTAATTGTCTCATGTTTATTGGTTAACACAAATGAAAACTTTTTAAGTTGCCCAACCAAAATTCGCGTGTAGGTATTACAAACAATTTAATATGTGTATCATATCGATAAATATACATTGTTTATCGCAAAACGTGCTTCCACAATTCTTGTGCTCCCCAAACGTGTAACACTAGATATAGCATAAACTGACGCAGCATCAATCATTTTTGTCTTCGTCTCTTTCTGGCGCGAATAGATCCATATGCCTAAATCTATACAGCCCGTTCCACTTTCTCGTCCTCCTCAATTGTATAGCCCTTCTCCGGTTCCTTTACAACCTGTTACAACTGCTTATAACTCGCCTTTAGAACCCACTGCGTCAAGATCTTTTCAAGGGCGCAAAGTTCTATTTCTAGATACTTCAAATTCTGACAATGATCTGCTTTTCCCACTGTCAAGCGTAAATACTCCAATAATACCAACAATACCAACCACACCTGGTCTGCCTTTTTTAAGTCCCGGCCTTATTTCTCCAAACTATCGTCGTCCTAACCTTGTAGCCGCCAGTCAACAATCTTTCATACAACGGAAATCTTTTGCTGAAATTATAATTTTTACAAATACTCAGTATAGTCTATTAAAAACTTTGTGCTCTGATAAAATATTACCAGCTTACAGTCCTGAAGTTTGGGAGGCCATGCTCCTCTGTGAAAAATTTCCGACCACGAATTCTGGGTGAGTCCTCCGTAAGTTACTGGCTATAATGTGATTATTCAATGTTAGAATTATTAGCAGCTATTTATGATATGGGTTTATTTATTATATGCGAGTGTTCTAGTAGTTTATATATCTTATTAGTATTGATATTGACATCTAATTATTTAAGGCAAGATGCTTACGACGTGGAAATGGCCACTGTAAGCTTGGCAATTGAGTTCGGTGAGTCTATATCAATATCAATAATGCTAATTAATGCTAATTAATGTTAATTAATGTTGATTAATGCTAATTAATGTTGATTAATGCTAATTAATGCTAATTAATGTTGATTAATGCTAATTAATTATTGTGCATGTATATTTACTGATCTTAATTTATATTTGATAGCCAATAATAATGAAAAAACGGCAAATTTTAATACTTTACTTCTCCATTGTCTGAGCCAAATGCATCGTGTATTAATGCCAGAATTTATTGGGTAATATTTCGCTCTTATTAAAGTTAAATGTTAATATATCATATTTATTTTAATAGTCAAATATCACTTTTATTAAATAGAGATATTCCTGTATCTGCATATAATTCTTTATTTCTCGTGAGAATATTTTCCAAACACTTTATTGGAAATATGACTCGTGACGAAATTCATCGTCAGTTTGAAGGTTGGCTTTTAAGAATAAAATTTGAAAATATGAAATTGTAATTTATATTTATGTTTATTTATTAATTTAATTTTTAAATAACTTAAAAAATTATTATCTTATAGGTCATTGTTTAGATGATATCATAAATAAACATGAGACAAATGGTTTGACTTGTGAAGAGGATAATCATACCCAGATAGAACTTGATCTCAATAACCTCGTAATTGATTTACAAGTAGTCCAGGATCCAAGGCCTAAATCCGAACAATTATTAGATTGTTTAGTATCTGCTATATCAACATTAGACCCGATGTAAGATTGCGAGAAAATAAAAGTGTGAAATTCTTATTATTTTTAATAGTTTAAGAATTTGAAATTTTTTTATTCGTATAAAAAAAGCTCGAACGCTTCTACATACGAGTTTTATCAAGAATGTCTCAACACACTCTTGGTCTTACTTTCCACTCAAATACACCAATCGTCTGCTAATCAGCTTGGCAATAATTATTTTCTAAATATTTTATTGACCTGTTTTAGGTATTTATTCTGAAATTGATTTTTAATTCACAAAGCTTATACAATGTGCGTTAAATATAACTTTTAATTTAAATCCATGTCAGTAATGATATAGATATTTGTATAAAGCAATTGGTTATTAACTTTGTTGAGCAAAAATCTCCTCCACCAGCTTCGACAAGTAAGAACTATATTATATTTGGTTTTTAAAATTGTTTTTCTTGCTATTGCTATCAAATTGTTATGACCTAACTTTTCGTAACAACAGGTGTTGTATATAATGCTTATTCATATCTGTTTCCTGGGAGATCATCTGCTTCATTACTTGCAGATCCGCCTCCCATAGCAGAGCGAAGTTTGCTCGTATTACTTCTACTTGCTTCTCAATTGAAAAAGTCTGGCCAAGGCAACAATAAATTTAGAGAATCAATAAAATTATTGAAGGATGCTCAAGGTTAGTGGTCTTTTAATAAAAGTTTTGTTTTTTTCATTTATGAAAAGTTTTATAATTCAACTTTTGATATTTAATATTTAGTATCAGAGGATAGTGATATGGCAATATCATTTAGAGCATTATACCAATTAATATGCCGGTAGGTTGCATAGTCATCATTTTACTTGTCTTAGTCTTTATTATTATTCTGATTATTGGCTAATTATCCTTATTTTTCACATTAGTCAGTTACCAAGTGAGGAGATATGCCTAATTTTATATCTCTTTATGGTTGAAAATGAAGATTTTAGAGTTTATGTATTATCACGATTAGATCCCGAAATTCTTGTATGTATTTACGACAATAAAACAGTTATTGCTTTTATTTTAAAATTTCTTGCTCACATCAAATATTTTCGATAAATAGCTACTTCAAATACTTCGCTTACTTTATGACGGTGTTGAAGGCAAAACAAATTACTCTCAAATGTATATTCTACTCACTATACTACTTTTATTCAGTCAGGACGAAGTGTTTAATGAGAATATTCAAAAAATTGTATCTTTATTTCGAATAGCATAGTCATTATATATTAAATCATTTAAAGTTTATCTTTGACTCGATTTTTAAATTTATAGCAAATAACATATCAACCATGGTTTACAGAACGTTTATTAAAATCAATATCATTAGGAGGGCTCGCGTATCTTGTTCTAATACGCGTATTACAATACAATCTTTGTTCTCATCGGGTAAGATACATTAAATCATTCGTATTTGTTATATACGTCAACATATTAAAGCTATTGACATTTGAATTATTTAAGGATGTTTATTTCCACACAAATTGCCTAGCAATTATGGCTAATTTGGGTAGCAGTATTCAAGATATACATCCTTACGTAGCACAGCGACTTGTAAAGTAAGTATTAGAACTGACTATTATATGTATTACACTGTACTCACACACTTCGACTCAATCATGTTTACCGACTTTATCTGATAGTTTGTTTGACATTGTAGCAAAGAGATATCAAAAACTATATAAGAAAGTCCAAGAAGGTGAAGAGGACAATGTAAGTTTTTGTCAGTATTAACGTTATCATTCATATTTAAGCATAATCTTCTGAATTAAATATCTTACCATGTAGTCCGATGACATTGTCATTTATGGCGATCTTGTTTGCCTAGTATTGGAAATTATTAATTCCGTACTGACGCGAAGGCTTAATTCAAATCCGGAATTAATATATTCTCTACTACATAAAAAAGACCTTTTTACACGTTTTCAATCTCACCCGAGATTTTCGGAATTAATTGCTAATATCAACAACGTATTGTAATCGCTTCCTTTTATAATCTTTTATTGTTATTTTGGCATCAATTAATTTGATAGGTCCGCTTTTTTTTTTTTTTTTTTTTTTTACAGGTAACTAGTTATTTTCATACTCGAATTTCAGAATCAAATTTGAAATCTCCGTCAGCGGAAGAAATTTCAGAACTAATAGAAACAGTAGCACGAACTTGGCCACCAGGTCGTCTCAAGGTTTGCAAACTACTATATTCAATTGTATTATACTCCCAATTTTAACTTGATTAATGTTAATAGCTTTTATTGTTAATATAGGAATTTCCTGATCTCAAATTCCAATATGAGGAAGAATCTGAATCACAGGAATTCTTTTGCCCATATGTATGGTCCCTCATACATCGACATACTTGGATTTATTGGGATGAAGAAAAAGCACGTATTTTACATGATTATATTACGGTAAGATGAATATTTATTTTTTACATTTAGTTGCAACCATTCATTAATTAAAATTGATTTCGACTGAGAATTTGGTTCTAATTGTAGCCTGAAGAACCAGTGGCTTTGGATGCATTTATTATATCATAAGGATTGATACATATTTTACCAAAAATCAAAGCATATTATTTAATATATAGCATAAATTTTGTAATTAGGGTCTTTGCCTTGAATATGACTCTACGGGACATAGTAATTATTATATCTCATAAGGTCATTTTCAAGGCAAAGACCCAGTTTATATATATAGATTAAGCGCATTTAACAATGTAAAAAAGAAATCTTTATTTGATAATTATAGACTTCTGCAATGATGTAGTTATAGCTTTCGATAACGAACTATTCATTTTCTTTATTTTCATCAAATATCATATAATGCTAAAACTATTAATGCCACGAGTTTTTTTTAATATTATTAGCAATTTTAATTTGCTTTAATGTGTATTCTTAAACTTTACCTTATATATGAACTTGTGTAGGATGATTAAATTTTCAAGTGTAAAGTTTGAACTGGGTTTATTTTTTATAAATTAAATATGATTCAAACCAACTAAAACTGGTTTTAACATGAAAATAAAACTAGTTATATTTTAAATTAAATAAAATTTTTATTAGCATTAGAATTATTAGAAACTAATTTTTAACAGGTACAGAGTATCTTTTATAAAGTTTAAAATGTCGTTTATAGTAAAATTTATATATAGTTAAAATATAAATTTTACTATGCATAAACTTTAAGCCAAAGATTATTTTTAACTAATTTAAAATTAAGTTGTATAATTATACAGAACCAAAAAAAAAATTAGTTTAGAAACTAAATTAAAATTTTGCTAATTTTGTATAATTTAAAGATATTACTTTGTTAAAAATATTTGTCAAATTTAAAATAATTGTTATATATAACTTTAAACAATTTTATTTAAAGAATAAAAGTAAGTTTAGTAAAAAACATATATATATTTTTTTAAAAAAATGTTATAATTTCTTAAAAGTCATACAAATTATTAATTCTTTTTTGTAAATTTTTTGATAAAAATTATCAAAAAGCAAACCATCAAAACAACAAAGAAATATACTAAGAAACAACACTTAAAGTTATAACAAAACAAATAGAGCATCAATAATTACATTTAGCTTAAAACAAAAAGCAAAAAAAAAGTATAAAGGTAATATAAACCAAAAATAGATAAAATTTTTAAAACTTTTTAAAAATTTAAAAAATTTTTAAGATTTGTTTTTGTAGATTCTTTAGATTATATAGAACTTATGCAAAACTAATCAAGCAAACAAATGAATAACATATATGATAAACTAGCTTAATTCAAATAATAATACATATAACAAAAAATTTTTTAGATCAAACTAATTAGTAAATAAAAAATTAACAAAAACTAATTATACTATAGAAGAAAATATATATAAGATAAGATCTAAGTGTTTTCTAAAAAATACTAGAAAGATCAATAGTATAAAGCTTACAGAAAGTTGAAAAAGTTGAACTAGTCAAAACATTAGAGATAATAAGAGTTATAAAATTAAGAAAAAATAAATATACAGTACTATTTTTTATAGCAAATATGATAAATATAGCAGTAATAAGAATACTAAGTTACAACCAAATATGGAAACTATACTGCACAAAACTAGCCAATTGGAAACATCAACACAATATACTAACTCGACCTTCATATACACAAACAAATACACATAATAATACAAACAATACAAAAAGCACACACTATCCAAAATCACTATATACTTACAACTGCATTTGCAGTTTAGCAGACCAACAACATATAGGAGACGAACACAATATTTGCCTACTGACAGGAATGGCAGAAAAGAAAACATCT